GACTTTTCTGTCTCTCTTAAGGCAGTTCAAGTGTGTTTAGAAAGACAGCAAGCCACTTCCATTTCTGTCATGTGGTTCAAAAGGATACCATGGGGTTTACAGGGAACAAAGAAGCCCTGCGAAAAATCTGCTGGCGAGAGGCCAACCTACCCACTCTGCCAAGAATTCTGTTGCCTGAAGAGTCCTTGTAGGAATGGAATTCACACACACACACACACACACACACACACACTCTAGCTATTTCTTGGCAAGGATTCCCCTCCCTAAACAGGTAAATGAAGAGATCATCTCACCCATTTACACAATGGAAAAAAAAACCTTGGTGGGTAACCAGAGATTGTAGGTTCTGTTATGCTTTCAAGTGCTATGCTGGGGACACCTGGTATAGTGATTTAAAGATATATAAAATTTCATTGCACAGAGGTAATACCCACCAAAAAAAAGTTGGACATAGTCTTTGAACTGGTTTAAATCTAGAGTCTTTCGTTCCCACTGAACCTGGACCCAAGTGTGCCAAACTGAATTCCGAAGCATTGCATTGCACACTACATGGGCTCAGGCAAATATGTATATGCTGAATGACAGAATATTTCTTCCATATTTAAAACTGCAATAAAAATCATTTCCTTGACACACTTTGGGTTACGTTCAACTGAAACCCAACAGCACAATTGCTTTTTTCTCCTGCTTTCCTCCCTGCTGCAGACTTGGTACCACCCAAAGCTCTGCTCCAGACGGTTTTCCAACCCTCTAGCACAGATTTTGACAGTATGTGCCGAGCAGGGGGAATTACTCCCTCTCAGTTCCACTGATGGAGCCAGTTCCTTCCGTGGATTGATATGAGATTCATTCCAAGGTCCGCTATGGTTTTATGGGTGTGAACATAACAGTCTTAAGGAAAAAGAAAGAACTCTTACAAATGCCTTATTTTTTGTGGCTTATGTAAAAATAATGCCCAACATTTCCTCCATTTTCCACATGCTCAATTGCCAAGTTTGCAAAATGTTAAAATGTTCACTCTAAGCTGTCAACTTGGTATTTCATCACAGCTGACATAACAGCTTGAACAAAACACATGAACCATATTAGTCAAAACAACAGCAAGCTGTTGCAAACACGATAGTCTTTTGATTCCTTGAAAATGATTTTGCCACCTTATCAGTCAGGAAGCAACTGGTTAAAAACACAGATTTCATTTGCTCATGAAAAGCTGTGCTGGATGTCTGCCTGAGAGATGTTTTACATCAGACTATCCCTCAGATGCCTGCCAAACAGGAAATAGGGATGCGGTTTAACATTGCACTGTCCCTGATCCTCCCTGCTTCAGTGAAGAGCAAAATTAGCTTTTCATTCCTACCACTTTCCCTTTCTCTGTAACAAAAAAAGGGGGGTTACTTGCCACCCTAAATGCTTACTGCTGAAAATGTGCTTGCAGAGATAGCTTGTCAGCTCCATAGAACAAAGGGAATAAACAGATTTGCTTTCAATACATGACCTCACTTAGTAGACTCCTGCCCTTGTTTTTGCTGAGTAATTACAATTCCTGTAGTCCAAAGGTGAATTGTACCTAATCATAAACTCTAATTCTTAAAACATATTTGAAAAAGAGTAAGGATTCACCAAGAGCAGTATAGTTAGTTAATGCCTTTATGTGAACAGAGCAAGGAAATCCCATCAAACAAAAAATCCAAAGCTCGCCATCATCCTTGCATGTTTTTTTTTTTTTTGCATCCCCTTGTATTCTTCTCTCTGTGCAGCAATTCTACATTAACTATATTTTTGCATGTATTATACTTTCAGATTTGCACTTTGGCTCATAAAAAAGAATTTATGAGGTTAATGTCAACTACAGCACCTACCCAGAAGTGATTTAAGATGAACAAGATTGAAAATTGGGCTCACACAATAATGAAGCTGTTTGTACTGGGTCATTTTTCAAGGCCCGTGATCCTGAACCCATTTATTCCACACAGGCTTCTCCAGCTCCACAGTAAATCGCTTGCCAGTTGGAGCCATTATTGTGCTCTGTTCTTGCTTTCTGAATCTTGTCAGTATTTTTAGTGCTGGTGACTAAATCTCATTGATATGGCTTGAAAAATATCTGTTCCTTGTTGGTCTTAAGCATACATCTAAGCAGCTGCCATTTTAAAGATATGATCCGGTATGCACTACCTTTAGGGAACTTCCTTGATGCAAGGTCAAAGGGAATTGTTTACAAATAGACACACAAGTACACTGCACAAATTTTACTTATAAAACAAAACTGGAATAATTGAAGAGCTGTTATGCTTTTTTTAACCATCCACTGTATTGAATTATAAAACGGTTCTAGAGCCCCCATCATTAGCACTTAAAAATGGATCAAAGTGCAATCTGAATCCGTGGCAAGCACATATAAGCCCTCTTTTATTTGTTTTAGGCTTCACTTTCAGATTTTAAAGGAAGCGTTTATTTATGCACTTGCTTCTCAAAAGCCTGCTTTTTCTCCACATAAATTGCAAAGCAAGTGATTAAAGAGAGAGCACCAGTCATTTATTTCAGAGTTATGTAACTGCTAGTATGTGGGTATATGGAGCTAAGAATACAAGATACTGAGCAGCCTGAAATCCACACGGCTATCTGTGGAGTTGTGTAACTGATTTTACCGCGGGGATGGAAGTTTATTTTTCCAAGTATTTCACAGTATAAAATAATCCTCTGAAATGAAAACAGCTATGCTGCAGTTAGAGTAGAAGCGAATGACAGATTCCTGGGCTAAAGAAGTAGGCAGGCTGGCTGTATGCTTGACTTTGGACAGCTGTTTCAAAGCTGTCCAGATCAAGACCACTTTAAAGATAAAGATCCATAAGAAGAGAGAGCAGAAGTCTTGAACTTGTCCGTCACTGATAGCACCTGCACTACAAGCTGAAGAAGCACACTGGTTCTTCCTATTACAGTTCAGCATGCAGCTTTTCTATCTGAATTATACCAGCTATTTCTAAGTTGATCTTGAAACATGTTTGCATATGCAAATATTATGCAAATCTTTTGTGCAAAACACATTTTTGCTTTTATATGACCAAAGGCTGAGGTAACCCAGTTTCATTTAGTGGTGGGGTTCAAACTAATAGGCAATCTTTAAGTAGGAGCAATTAGGATACCTATTACTTCTAAAACAAAGAGGAAGTATTCGTTAAGGGATTAAGGGTACAAGCCTATGCATGTTTAGATAGCAAAAAGTCCTACAATTCCCAGCATTGTAGAATTCTGGACACTGAAGGCATTTTTTCTGTCTAAGCAGGCGTGGGATTGCACCCTAAGTATCTAAATGGTTAGACAACTTGAAAACCTAAATTTAAACGAACAATAATTAATCTACAAATAGCTTTTCCAACTTGCAGGTTAGCTCTATATTGTGTCTTACAAGGCATGGCTTGGAGAAATAATTGTTAGCTACAACAAATATCTTGAAAGCAAACACTAAGTATGCACAAAAGGCCATGCATATTGAGGCGCATTTCAGTAGAAACTCTAAATATAGAAATGTAATACAGCATAATGTCTACAGAAGTGTGACATATTCTGCACTAAACAGTCTCACTTCTATTCAATAAGCAAGTGGGAGTTACTTGCATGTATTTTTCATTGGGTGGGGACTCTTTTCTTAATACTTCAATTATTTCTTTGGAATTCACAATAATGTAATTGCTCTTCTGTAGGTGCACAGTTTCTGTAGTGGAAATACACTACATTAATTTAGCAGGGACCTAATGTATTTGTGAAAGTGATAATAGAAGCACAAGTTTAAAGGCATTGCTCAAAGCAATGTCTGTTTTTCTTTTTTACACTACACTAACAGCATGAATCCTGATCCACATTAAAATGCTAGCATAGGGAATATGGGCATTCATCCTTTCATGTCTGCTGTAGTCCTATTCAAGATCAGGCTTCTTGTGTCTTCAGTATATGACAAGTTAGCCAAGTTATTATCACACAGACCATCTATTAAAGGATTACACTTCCTGTAAGAAAATATTGGAAATGATCCCAACTGAATTTGAATCTGGAAGTGAGGTAGTGTGCTGTGCATATTGCAAGTGACCAATGACAACCCATTTCAAGTGTTTTCTTATCCTTTTTCATATTATTCATTGACATTACGATCTGAATATTACTGTTCTCCACTTGACTTGTGCATTGTATGGGATCTACCAGAAGAATGGCAAGGAGGTTATTAGGTTCGACAGGTATAGTTGTGTTTTATCTTCTGATTGAGCCGCCCAGAGGTGCCATGGCACAATTGGGAGGCATATGTATGTTTTAAAGAAATAAAATATAGTGAACTTTCCTAGTGTCCAAACACCAGGGTAGTTTGTGAAGCCATATCAAAAATCTTATTGCCTTCAGCTTCATAGGAGAAACAGCAAAGATAATTGCCTTGACACTGCCTTCTGTAGATAATAACTGCTTTTGCTGCGAAAATGAAACTGTTGCCTTACTTAAGCAGCCGTGCCTACCCCTTTCTCCCATGAAGGAGAAACAGACCCTGTGTGAATTACTGACATTACTGCTCTGCAATAATGGGAAAGGGGATCATTATAAAACTCATGGCAACAGTTGTTGTCATTTGTTCTCAGCATGGGAAGAACTGACATACTGTTAATAACAATGTAATAACCTATCTAAGGCAACAAATTGGGGGTGTCAAATTGGGTATCTTCCTTCTGAATTCACCCCCCTGCAAATTTAGTCTTGATCCCTTACTTTTTTCACTTCATTATCTACCTTTTAACAGTTTCCTTCAAAGGGTTAAATAAGTATGTTATTTGAAGTATGTGAAATTATATGTATTTTAATTTGTTAATTCTTGCCAGCATAAGAACTTGCCTAAAATAAAAATAAACCTACTCATTGATAACAAGTAAACATAATAAACAAAATAATGTGTCTTATTCAGTGTAAGCAACCATAAACGTTTTAATCCAGTTCATATGAGTAAACCAAGAATAACAAAGCAATACCTGGTAGAAGTTCGGCCAAAAAGTACTGATTGCCAGTTCTACCTTGTTCCAGGTTCCTGTAGGAGCTCCAGACATGTTCCAAACTGGGCTACCGAGCTCACCATTATTGACTTTCACATAAACATTTAATATACCAGGATTGGAGCCACTCTTGCTGGAAACATAAAAATTGAAATTGATGCAATGAGTGTCATTTTCTTTAAGATGCGGGAGCAGAAGATGAGCTTTTTGTCCATATCTTGCTGAGGTGTTCACCAACATAAAAGATCCTGCAGGAAACAAATACAAAAAAAATATTTACTCTTTATACAATTTCAAAACCTAGAGAAAAGCAAACCTTAAGGTCTATGTGAAAATAAACAATAATCATTAGCCAAAACAGAATGGCCATCTTGGTTCATTTGCAAGCCAGTCTTAATTAACTTCGCTTCCTGTTGAACACGCAACATCACCAACAGTCAGAAAAAATGTTGAAATTGGGAAGCCACCAATTTCCTGACTACCAAGGGCTTAGTACGAGACAAAGGCCAGGGGAGCCTATTAACTTCCAAGTACTTTTCAGAAACCTCTGCAGTGGGTGAGCTTCTCCTCTATGGTTTTTGCCATTGCCACTCCTTTAAAGATCTCCCCATAAAATCTGATGGGCTTGTTTAATTCGTATTTGAATGAAGAAAATGCTTAACTAGGCTCTCCCCACCTCACATTATGATCCTAATGACTCCGTATATCTTTACGTTGTCTTATTCTAATTCACAGAATTCATACTGGGCTACTGGGTGAAAAGCAAGTGGGGAAGCCCACCTAATCCTTGGGACTGGAGAACCCTCTGTGGTTGGTAGAAATCCTACCCCCACACCCTACCATTCCTGGATTTTATAGATGCATTAGCTGTCAAAGACAGAACTGAAACATAGAAGGGTTGCATATCCATGAGCCTCCTTGAAGGATTATGGCATCAAGAAGAGACTTTGACCAGAAGGAATGGTCAATTATGCTATGAGTCAAATTCTTTTCTGGCTCAGATAGAAGCAAGTGCACAAGTTTCTCATCAAAGCCCAAGCTGAGATAAATTCACTGGCATTCCATCAAAATCCCTTATGAAAAGTAGTAACTATCATCATCTTACAGAATGGGATACTTAAAGTGGCTTGTTTCTGAACCTTGCTGGATTAAACAGCATTTCCAGCTGACTGGGCTGAAGGGACTATGATGATTTGCTGAAAGCCACACTCCAAGGCCACATGGGGAAAAAAGTCAGTGCTTGTTTAAGATGTCACTGAAAAGTCAGCTTTGCACAACATGCACAAGAAACTCTTCCCAAAAGTTATTGAATCTAGAGGTTTCAATCCAGCAACCTGGTATGGATCAAATCATTGGATAGGAAGACTAAAAGCACCTCTTTCAAATTTAAGTAGGGATTTTGATGTTAATTACTTTTTTTAAAAAAAAACTTAACTGGGTACTGAATAATCAAAATTATATTCCTGAGTAAAAAAGAACTATTTGCACAAAACAGTCTATTTAAACCTATTATTCTGTTATATTCAATATACAAATAGTGAAATGAATATATGGATCTTTGGATAAAACGATAAAAATGATTTTCAAAAGATTAAAGCACTCCAACAGTATCATAACTGAAACAACTCTTTGTGGTAAACTACCCAGAGCGCTTCGGCTAGAGGCTGCATAGAAATGAGATAAAACAAACTACTACAAACTTGTATAGATATGCTTGAGCTGAGGCTGTATAAAAAGACTTCAAGAATGACTGTACCATTTGCAAAAGAAATGATTGCAAAACACCAAGTTCCACACTCTTCTTAAAAATGAGAAAAGAATGTTGGAGAACATTGCTACATATTGGATATTAAAACATACCTTTAAATAGGGTTTAAATAGGGGTCGCCGCCGTTTGGGGTGCCGTTCGGGAGGACGAGAGGGGGGCTGGGCTGGCCATGGACTCTTGTTGAAATAGGCTTGCCTACTGCTGATTCTCAGGGAAGAGGAAGGATCCCCTTTTTCTTTTTTTTTCTTTTTATCGTTCTTTTTCTCCTCCTCCGACCTACTTTATAATCTTACCCTGCTTTAATTAGTGCTTTGAGTCATTCCTGGCCATGTCGACGTTTATATATCCTGGGGAACCCACGGGGGCTGCTATTGGCGTGGTCACGGGCAATGGTCGTTACAACAATAGGGGCTTAACGTGTCCACGTAGAAGAAGGATGGACAGATGGCTGACACCTGTCCCTCCTTCTGATCCTGCCCCCAACCAGAGGGCGCCAGGTAGCCTTGTCAACCACCCCTCGGGTCTGACGGTGCTGCTGCTCAATGCCAGGTCGATCAATAATAAATCTTCCCTCATCCATGACTTGATTGTGGATGAGGGGGCTGACCTGGCTTGCATAACGGAGACCTGGGCGGGAGAGGGAGGGGATGTTGCCCTCTCCCAGTTGTGCCCGCCCGGGTATCTGGTTCAACACTGTTCACGCCCAGAAGGGAGGGGAGGGGGAGTCGCGTTGGTTTACAGAGCCTCCATCTCTCTCACGGGTCTTCCGGTCCCTTTGAGACCAGGGCTGGAGTGCCTCTACTTGGTGTTGGGCGAACGAGACAGATTGGGGATTCTATTGGTGTACCGTGCACCTTTCTGCCCAGCAGTCTCCCTATCTGAGCTGACAGAGACCGTCTCGGATCTGGTGTTGAGGACCCCCAGGATGTTGGTCCTGGGGGACTTCAATCTCCATGCCGAGTCTGGACTGACCGGGGCGGCTCAGGACTTCATGGCCTCTATGACGGCCATGGGCCTGTCTCAACACGTCACTGGCCCTACCCATGAACGTGGACACACTCTGGACCTGGTATTCACGACGGGGCAGGTAGAGGATGACCTGAGGGTGAAGAACTTATGTTTGACTCCCCTGTCATGGTCAGATCACCTCCTGGTGAGATTTGTGCTCGAGAGCGGCCTCTCCCTCTATAAGAGTGCGGACCCGATTGTATGGGCCCGCCCCCGGAGCCGGATGGATCCGGATGGATTCCTGGGGGCCCTGGGGGAATTTCCGGCTGACAAGACTGGTGCTCCTGTCGAGGCTCTGGTCGAACTGTGGAACGGAGAGATGACCAGGGCTGTGGACACAATCGCTCCTAAGCGTCCTCTCCCACCGGGCAGAGTCCGCTCTTCCCCTTGGTATACACCTGAATTACGGGCGATGAAGCGAGTTGGGAGACGGCTAGAGCGTAGGTGGAGGAAATCACGGGATGAATCTGACCGAACACACTTGAGAGCCCACTATCGGGCCTATGCTGTGGCGGTGAAGGCGGCGAAAAAGAAGTTTTTTTCTGCTTCCATTGCCTCCTCACAATGCCGTCCAGCGGAGCTTTTTCGAGTGGTGCAAGGCCTGGTTCGCCTGGGTCCTAAGGAAGATCCGATGCCACCCTCAAAGGCCCGCTGTGACGACTTTGCCAGGCATTTCAGGGAGAAAATCGCTCAGATTCGTCACGAGCTGGACTCCACTAATGAATCAGAGGTCTCTGAGGAGTCGCCAATGCCACCGTCTGGTCCAAAATTACTGGAGGAATTTCAATTATTGCGGCCCAATGATGTGGACAAGGTGCTTGGAAGAGTACGTCCCACCACGTGCCTATTGGATCCTTGCCCGTCTTGGTTAATAAATAACTCCAAGCACGGGATTGGGACCTGGATTTTGGAAGTGGTTAACGCTTCTCTGAGGGAGGGTCGAGTGCCTGCCCCTTTAAAGGAGGCGGTAATACGACCGGTCCTGAAGAAAGCGTCACTGGATCCAGAGATGGCCACTAACTATAGACCTGTGGCCAACATCCCGTTTCTGGGCAAGGTGCTGGAGCGAGTGGTGGCGGGACAACTCCAAGCACTCTTGGAGGAAACTGATTATCTGGATCCTTTTCAGTCCGGCTTCAGACCCGGGTACAGTACTGAATCTGCCTTGGTCGCCCTGTACGACGACCTGTGCAGGGAGAAGGACAGGGGGAGTACATCCCTGTTGGTTCTTCTGGACCTCTCGGCGGCTTTCGATACCATCGACCATGGTATCCTTCTGGATAGACTTGCGGGATTGGGGGTTGGAGGCACTGCTTTGCAGTGGTTCCGCTCCTATCTCGACGGTCGATTCCAGAAGGTAGTGCTGGGGGACCATGTTTCTACGTCATGGCAGCTATGCCATGGGGTACCACAGGGCTCCATTCTATCCCCTCTGCTATTTAACATCTATATGAAACCGCTGGGAGAGGTCATCAGGAGGTGTGGGCTGCGGAATCATCAATACGCTGATGATACCCAGCTTTACCTCTCATTCTCCACTAATCCAGATGAGGCAGTGGCTGTGCTGAACCGGTGCTTGGCCGAGGTAAGGGAATGGATGAGGGCCAATAAACTGAAACTCAACCCAGACAAGACGGAGGTCCTGTTGGTTGGCGGATCGGGTTTCGGAGAGGGTGGATTTGACCTGGTCCTGAATGGTGCAACACTCCCTCTTAGGGATAAGGTCCGCAGCTAGGTGTACTCCTCGACCCGGAGCTTTCTTTGGAAGCTCAGGTGACAGCGGTAGCGAGGAACGCCTTCCTTCAGCTTCGGCTGATTAATCAGCTGCGCCCCTACCTGGAATACGACTGCCTGGCGACGGTGACACACGCGCTGGTGACTTCCCGCCTAGACTTCTGTAACGCGCTTTACGTGGGGCTTCCCCTGAAGACAGTCCGAACACTTCAATTGGTGCAAAATAGAGCTGCCAGGTTGCTGACGGGGACGGGGCGTTATGCTCACATGACTCCAGTCCTCCATCAGCTTCACTGGCTTCCCATTGAAGCCCGGGCCCAATTCAAGGTGTTGATTATGACCTACAAAGCCCTAAACGGCTTGGGTCCTGGCTACCTGAACGAGTGCTTACGTCCGTATATGCCCGACCGCCCTTTGAGATCTGCGGGAGAGTCCCTTCTCCGGGAACCCTCCATGAAAGAAATTAGGAGAGTAAGTACCCGGAGGAGGGCTTTCTCTGCGGTGGCGCCCAACCTATGGAATTCACTCCCCAAAGAGGTCCGCCTGGCACCGTCGTTACTGGTTTTTCGGCGCCAGGTAAAGACCTTTTTATTTAAACATCATTTCAATTGTTAAAACATATGATCTGGCCTGGGCAACTTCTTCTTCCTTCTCTTTCTCCTCCTATATTTTTATTTTATACTGATAATTTTAATTTTGTATTTGTAAATCAATGTATTTTTTGTATTGTTATATTTA